CCTTACTGAAAACACAAGCCAGCCCTCCCTGCTGCAAAAGAAGGGTTTCCCAGGTCTACAGCCCTGAGGCAGAATGTTTGTACCAGGAAACAAGTTTCCTGTGACCTTTGTGGAAGGCTCTGGCCAACGCGTAACGCTTCCTTCTGAAAGCAGGGGGAGGTGATGGTGCCACTCCCCAAGGTACCCCCACAGCCCCCCATTTCTGATCTAGGCCAGGGCTGAGCTCTTGGGGCAGGTTCAAGGTGCTCACTTAGCGGCGCCCGATATCCCGCGTGGCCCCCGACATCCCGCGTGGCCCCCAGCCGCCTTGGCGCAGAACACTCCGCACAAGTTTCTGGCCCCTGCGCTGGGGACTCGGCCCCAGTGAAATTGACCCCCACCCGCACCACCCCTGTGCCTGTACTGCAGCCCCATGTGAAAACAGCTCACCTGGTGTAGCTGTTTGGGTCATCTTACCTTCTTTGCCGAGCTCTTGTCGTATTGCTAAATTCTGCTATTCTATTACTGGAGACAGTAATTCGGAATAAAATGCAGTGTTGCATTTGGAAAAAAGCAGTCAGCTGCAGCCAGGTAGTGATTTTTCTTTTTCCTCTTCCTTTTTTTTTAGGCCAAAGCGAACACATTCCGTGGGCATGAGCATAAAGATTGAGTATGAGCGCTGCTGCTCAACAACAAGGATAAACTATAAAACCTAGTTTAGCATTGTGTAAAAACAAGTAATAAATTGTGTTGCCATACTGTGGAAAGGTTGTCTGTTGCAAAAGGAAAAGCAGCTGTACTGGAGGAATGGCAAACACTGCAGGATGGAACGGATCTGGTCTCCAACTGGGCCCTGGTGTACAAAGCACTAATAAAACACCAGTATTCACAATGAACAAAACCAGAGCCATTTAAGCTCCTCACACGCAGAATTCAGCAGGCGCACTGTGTAGTGTACTCATCCCTCCTACCACACTTCTTGCACTCTGCGTGACCATCTATCATCCAGTGCCTGTTTTGAAATATTTTCATAGGCGTAGCCAAAGCAGAAGGGGACGGAAAGACCACTCGGGACGTGGGGATACAGACGATCAAGTTTTTATTACTGCCTGGAACAAAACGTAACATCAGAAGAACTGCCCTCTGCTCCCCCCAATCCAAACGTTGGGGTGTCAGCCCACACTCTAGCATTACAAGCAGTACCTGAGCAAACGTGCCTTCAACACGGGCAGCATCACGAAGCGTAACATCCAGTACTTGCAGGCAGAGGCATCCACCGGAGGGTGAGATACCAGGAGAGAGGCAAGCGCTGACACAGCCAGCCGGCAGCCAGCACAGTCACGCTCTGACCTTTCTGAACGCCAGTTGCCATTGCAGCCGCAAGGAAGCCCCGTTCTGAAGGGGTTTCAGCCACCTCCCTGCTCGTTTGGCGCGATCTCGCCCGACTTCCAAGGACCTGCTGAAGACCCCTCCTGCTTTTCACATGAGCAACAGTCACAGCCTGCACCTGGAGCAAGCAGAGTGGCAGTCGCTCCTGCCAGGGGAGTCGAGAGCTGGCTGCAGGTCACAAATTAGCTGTTGCTTCGGCGCTGCAAAACGCTGGATGTACCGGCACTAAAAGGATTTACAGTAAGGGCCCCTTTTCCAGTTTAATCCTCTAACATAGAAATTGCCTGGGTCTCACTTTCCCCTTGGGGGATGAGTCACGCTGGGTTTGGATGCAGGAATGTGAAATCTGGTAGATGGGTGCAGCCTGGGAAAACTACCAACCCTAAGGTCTCTGTGTTCTCCATTCATCCCTGGCGTCCCACCCCTTCAGAGCAGCGTGCCCGCACCTGAACTCCAACCTTTTCTATTTCAACACTGTTTACAATGACTAATCCACTTTGAGGGATAGCAGCAAGGAAATATATCTGGTAACTACTATGAGGGGGGGAAAAAAAGAGCAGAAAAAGAAAAACTATTTAAAGTTTTCTCCCCGTGACGTGCTCTGGCTCTGAAGGGCACTAAGAGGAGCTGGAGAACTTGGGTGGCTGAATGCGCCGAGGCCTAGGGGGAACTAGAAGAGAGTAATTCCTGGTACAGACTAGCACCAACCACGTAAATAACCTCAGCTCCGACATGCTTTTTAATGCAGTTCCAGCCAGTCTAATGAATAGCAAACCCCCTCTGAGGAATTAAACCACTAACCCCCAATAAAATTTGTACAAAACCAAATGCATTTGTCACATATAAATACATCAGTTTTCTGTGGACTACAAAACATTCTGTGGTCTTAAAGACTGAAGTAGGCTTCCAGTACAAAACCCACCAAACACTACTGTGACATGCCACACGCCTCATGAGGAAGGCACCGCCACTTTTTGGAGTACCAGAAAATTCCTTGAGGTAACAGCAACAAAGAATGATGTAGGATGAACTGTGAAACCTCTTTAAAGTGTCTTTCAAATTAGACTTTCTAGTAGGTGAAAAGCATTCCCATTTCATCTCACCCTCGATTTGGTCTAACCAAAAAAAAAAGTGAAATGCCAGGTTTATTACAACCTGTTCATGTGCACAAGGGGGAGAGGTGGATCGAAGCGGCCCTAAGCCTTCTGTGTCACGATGAGGATTTGATAACAAAATACTTGGGAACCCAGCTCCTCCGGTTACCACCCCAGGAGCGGCAGTACAGTTACACCCGGAGCTGTGGCCACCGTTGTGTAGTCACGAAGTCACAGCGAGGGGCTGCGAGCGCAAGGTCAGAGATGCCTTAAGGCGCTTCCGCGCCACATCGGTGCAGGTCGTCAGTTCTCGCATCGTGTGCACCTCAAAACCACCCCCACCCCAGCCCCTAAAATACAAAAGGAAAACTTTCACAGCTTTGTTTGATTTTTCAACCCTGATTTGCATAGCAAGCCCACGGCCAGAGGGCTGAGCCAAAGAAATGAAGCTAGAAAGTGTTTACCGGTGCCTTCCCTGGCCGCCTTACGGCTGGCACTGATGTCGCGCTGTTCAGCCAGATTGTCAAAGGCAACCGGGAGAGGGGAAATGGCATTTCAAGTGCAGCCAGACAGGATTAAAAATGCTCCCGTTCTGCTTTCAGCGAGCCTTTGCTTAGCAGCAGCATGCTTTCACCCCACACGCCTGAGGACGAGAAGGTTCCCGACTTGCACACGCAGGCACACGTGCACACACAGAGCTCTGGTTTTGGGCAGGGGCTCTCTGTTCTCGCTGCGCCCCGAGGCTGCTCGAGCACACCTTGGGGCCACCTCATGTGACGTTCCCACAGCAGGTCTCCCCAGCACAACCTCAGGTCTGAGAGCAGGCAACATTTTTGTTTGGGGAGGGCTCAGACCGTTGTTTTAGTCACAAGAGACTGTAAACATCATGAAGCCACGTCCCCTCTGACCGCCAAAGAACATGGGCAAGTGTCTTGTCTTCACATTCCCCCCTGAACAACTCCAGAAACCATCACCTGCAACCGTTTTTTGGTCACCTCTCTGCAACCCGTCCCCTACAAGGGGCTGGTGGAATACTGCTGGATGAGCTGCTTGTGGCAGGGATTGCAGACGCGCTCGGGGTTAATGCTAGACGGGAGGGGCAGCTCGTTGGCTGAACAGGCTTCACAGAAGGTGCCACCGCAGTTCTTGCAGATGTTCTGGAACGCAGGAAGAGGACAGAGGAATCAAGGAGAGGTTCAAGACAGAAGCGACACAAACTTAGGTTTTCTCTCATTAACATTCAGTCAACCCAAACCCTCTGCTGGGCTAAAGACGCTCCAAAACTCCACTCCAGTCCCCTCTGCAGACCCTACATTTGCTTCTGCGCTCAGGACCAGATTATAGCAAAGCTCCTTAGGTCAAAAGGGAGTAGGTGAAGGCTTGTAGTACAGCAGGTAAGAGTTACCATTCATGAACCGTTCGAGTTTTAACTGACCAAGTCTACCAGAGCATCTTGTTACAAGAGATGCACGGGTGTATTTTATAGCCACATAAATACACTGGCACAAGTAGTCTTGCCCGAGATGAGTATTTAAATGTGCACGTCCATTTGGAAGTCAGGTACAAAGCTGTGGCATTTGCTCTGCTCTGAACTCGGGTGTTTTCTCAAGATAAACCCAGGGGAATGGGGAAGACCAGAAATCCTGCAGAGTTCCCACGTGTGTAAGAGAGGTTCATGGGGTGATTTGGGGGCGGGGGGCAGTCAGAGCACCCCCCATCGCCTGG